AATGAACAAGAACGCTTTCTCGGGTCACAGCTGTGAAAGTCTGAAGTGAGCGAGTATAGCCAGAGACAAAGTGGATCGCACATCATTTTAATTATTATAGTGCTCAGTGGGAGGGAATCAGCTCAGCATATGATATTAACACAAACTCATTTTTAATCTGCTAATCATGCATGTTGATTTTATGCCTTGAAAGAACAAAATGAATGAATGTCTTAATTTTAGCGGACTGCTGTTAATGATAAATAATCAATTAATACAATGCCAATGACACCTGCAGTTGAAAATAATTTCGGCCTAGTTACATTGAACCATGAATGAATAAAAAAAGCATGAAAAACACCTCTGTTTAACATTTTCCAATAAATCAAAATGTGTTACACACCCCATTCAAATGATGTTTTTGAATGAAGGGAAAGTAAAGGTATAGACCGGACAGGAGAGTGTGAGAATGTTTACAGGACTCATAAAATGGGTCAAATCAGACTGCCTGCTGCTGTTCAATCTTGGTTGCATTTCCATTTGTGGAGGTTTTATTGGTTTATGCTAATTGAATACTTATTTCACTCATGGCCGTTCACACAAAGTCTGATATTGAAAACCTAATTAGCTATTATTCTTGCATGTTTTACAGTCACCAGTTTTAATCAAAGAGCATAGCTATAGTGCAATGGGGATATAGTCATATTTCATTCATCTTTATCCTGCATTTCATGCGTCATCCATTATTAAATCAGAAAACTCTCTCTCTGTAGCTATACAGTGCTGATTTCCATTGAGTTTATTTCACTGCACGAGCTCAATATATTTGGTCTCTCAAATAGGCTACCATCCATGCAAATAAAATACTCAGCAGATAAAATAATTTGAGTAGATGCAGCGTCTAATGCAGCAATCAGGTGGATCTTAATCATAAATCGTAATTAATTTACTAAGAATATCGTGCAGGCGTGATTAGCCAGGTAATTACCATCGAGCCCACACTAAGTGGTCTGCAGAGGTTATTTATAACGCATACGAGAATGAAAGTAAATTCATACACTAGGTTACATATGTCAGACAGGCGTTTGCATCGTTTTATTCGTGGCATTAAGAAATAGAAGGGAAAAAAATGCACTCACCAAAATAAACAGTTTTGTCACATTTGGGACATTTTGATGCCATGTTCCGCGCAAAGCTGGGGTTTCCTCTGATTTAAGCTACGCTGTGTTTTATTCAGATCTGAGTGAATGCGACCCGCTCGTTCTTAGAGATGCTCAAAGCGCGAGCGCATCCTCCCTCGATGGCGTCATTAAACATCGATGTCAGAGCATATACAGACATCATGTCATTCATGGAAACCTTATAATATATGCCAATACCTACTTCACCTACACAATACTACACTGAAAACTATTTATATATGATTAATAGCCTACATCATAAATATGATAGAATACACACACATATATATAGCCTATCTATGAAATACATTATATAATAATGTAATAGCCTATGACTTTACTGGTCTCACTTTCAGGAGAAAGATGCATACATTTTTGAAATTCAGATTTCATGCAGTGGACCCGAGTCCTACACTGTAAAAAATGACTGTGAATTTAACGGTAAAAGACTGTAAAAATGCTACAGTAAAATCCGTGTTTATGTGAATGACACTGTGCACCTTCTATATATGTTATTATTTAAAAGCTGTTTGTGATGGGCTTTGGTTCATCATGTGACTTTCTCATCACCACCTGCTTTTGGTGGTTATCAGTGTATTACAAAGGTACAAAACAGATTTCAGTACTTCAATAGGTTGGTATATGATAACATTTTATCAGTTAATGAAACTACGGTACTCAGCTGTAAATTTAAGTTACAGCTGCCAGTTTTTTACCGTAAATTTTATGGATTTTTTTTTACAGTGTACTCTCTTTTTTTGTTGAATAATTGCATATACGTTTTTTTTTTATTTTATTTTTTACCCTATTTCTTTGTCACAAATCAATGTTTTAATTCAGATTTATGTATTTAATTGTGTTTGCTTCCGTATTTTTTTGAAGGCACTGATTCAATCTTTGGACTTCAATAGCGCCGTTTTTGATAAACCATTTCATCGTGTTGATTTTTTATTTTATTTAGGACTGCAAAACGATTAATTGCGATTAATCGCATTCAAAATAAAAGTTTATGTTTACATACTAGGCCTATATGTGTGGACGGTGTAATACACACACAAATGTATATATTTAAAAAAATATTTGTATATATATTTATACTTGTATATCATGTATATTATACATAAATATAAATATTTTATATATAAATCCAACATATGTGTGTGTATTTATATATATATACACACATTACACACACACACATGTCATATGTAAACATAAACGTTTATTTTGAATGTGATAAATCGCGATTAATCGTTTTGCAGCCCTAATTATTATTATTTTTTTAATTTCCACATTGGTCACACACAAAGGCTACAGCATATGTTATGGCTACATCAGGACATGTGCAAACAAGGCCTAATTTGCAATCCGAATAACTCACTAAGACATACACATGTTGTTTGTTGACCCTCTTATAAAAGGCAAAGCAAAAGAGAGGATAAGAGGATGGCGTATGTGTGAGACACAAATGGACAGAATGCCACTGATGCTTTTCAAACGGTTTGCATTTATCCATGTTGACCCTTGTATGCCATTACAGTGTTTACAGAACGAGAATAACAACTGAACAAATAAAGTACATCAAGAAATGACGGAACCACTGATAATGAGCAAGGGCCATTTACTCTAGACAGAAACTGGTGGATCATGTTGTTGAGCTCAAAACATGACCTCAGGCTGATTTTGTTGAGATTGTTTAAGCTTTATAAAAGTCTTGCATGTTGTGTTTCTGTATACAGTTGTGCTGTAAACTGATGAAAACACTGTAGTTTGATATTTATAATTAATAATTGACATCATTATGTTTTGGTTGTTCTGTTGCAATAAATCGTTTACCAGAATATATTTTCTGTATTGACTGGATTTATCTGCAGTCATTCCTCTCGGTCTATTTTAACCAGACCCTCGCCAACCAAGTGTCATGAACAGGCAGGGTGCTTATCTCTAGCAGGTACAGAGATAGTGAAAGACAGGCCCGATGCTTTGTCCATACATGGGCCTCCCGTGTGTCTCAGTCAAACTTCCCACCGGCCGTCAGATGCCATGAGAGCAAAGCTGGTGGCTCATACAGTCTGTGAGCTTGAAGAAGGGTCAGCCAGTTTCTCTATACATAACATACTCTGTTATGTCTTTCCATTTTAAGGGGACATCTGAGGCTGTTTTATTTGATTTCAGATGTTAAAATGTTTTGGTGCTGATTTTATCACAATGATCTCTAAATCTAATATGTCCTCAGAGACTTGGTCATCTGATTTGGCCTCCCATTATGTCCTCTAAAAAAAGCATATTTATTTTCAAAAGCCATAAACTATTTCTGAGGAACTATTTCCTTTTCATTTGAGATCTTTTGATGATGACTTCTGCAATGATGTCTCTTTCTTCCAGAGATGTGATGCATTCCGTCACACCTTGCTTCTCCTCCATGCAGGTGTAAATGAAGTCTCTTAAGAAAATTCCCAAGATTATTTGGATTATTCAAATGAGGAAATGATAAAAAAAAAAAAGACTTCCACTGTATTGATGTCAGGAGGGCAGAGTTGACAGCGAGGCATGACAAAATAACTTGGGAGGATCACAGAGGTTATCAAAACACTGAGAGGTTTAGAGGAAAGCATTTAATCAAGCCAAAACAAACATTATATATAGCAAATATGATTTATATTATTTGTTTTTAGATAGGATTAACCACAACCTCACTTATAAATGCAACTAATGCAGTCATACTGTTCACGGCATATCCTTATCAATGAACAAATATCATTTCTTTCAGTGTCATGATCAATTATCAAATCATTATTTCTCACTTTTTTTATAAAGAGTGGTGAAGAAAAATATGCTTTTGATCACATACAGTATGTGTAAATGGAAGAAATGTAACCCCCCGCCCCCCACACACACACACTTTACATTCTTTCTTCTATTTATTTTAAGTTAAGTTAGTGAAGTTTCAAATGCAAAAAAAATTATAAACTATTATGGCTTTTGGTAATATTTTTTTTTACTTATTACTATTTTTTATTTTCTGTATTCACAATAATTTTGTCATTTTATTATCATTCATTTTAATCTATTAGTTTCATTTTATTTGGATATTTTAGTAGCCTACTTAAAGTCAAATTAAACAAAATAGGACATGTTGCTATGGCAACTAGATGAAATGAATGTGTTTACTTTTTAACAGCAAAAACATAAAATATAAAATCCTCAATGCCAGAGTATTATTAATAATATTAATACTATTTTAAGGCTGTCCTTTTTACTTTATATTAGTGCTGTCAAACGAATAATCGTGATTAATCGCATCCAAAATAAAAGGTTTTGTTTACATAACATATGTGTGTGCTGTGTATATTTATTATGTGTATATAAATACACACACATACAGTGTATATATATATATATAAGAAAAATATGTTATGTTTATATATTAAATATATGTATATATAATATAAGAATATAAATATATAAATGTATATATAAATGCCAAATATTCCCAAATATATACTGTATGTGTGTATTTAATTATACATAATAAATATACACAGCACACACACATATATTATGTAAACAAAAACTTGTAAACTTATATATATATATATATTTATGAGTGGTACGATCTTTGGTATGTTCCCTGTCTTGCATTGTAAATAATCATAATAATAATAATGTGCAATAAAATTAAGGTGTCGTACAATCTTTATTTAAAAATAAATAAATAAAATGAATTTTGTAGGTTAAAAAAGAAAAACAAAACAAACAAACAAAAACAGCTTTATTTACATCATAAACTACATTACCCACAATCCACATGCACTACATTTTTTCGTTAGCTTCCGGGCGCGCTTCGCTATTTCAAAACTCATAACGTTTTTTTTTTTCATGGAAAAGTTTAATCCTAAAGCTCTCTGTCACTGTGTCGTGTGTGCAATCGTTACGGAAGGGTGTCATTTATTGTAGTTAAATAACGCTCGCATAACTCTTATAACGGTTATTTTGTGTCAATGGCAAGTAAGAAGTTACGGAGGACGGGCGTCTCAGCGGAGCTCTGCGAGCGACTCAAGCGCCATCAACTGGACACCTGCCAGGTGAGAGACCCTGCCTCAAGCCTCCTGCTCTGCTATTATATTAATGGAGGAGGCTTCTGTAAGCGTGTGTGCTCTGTGACCTGCAGGATGTCCTGTCTATCACACCCGCGGAGCTCATGCGGCTGGCTGGACTCAGTTACCCCGCGGCCCTGGATCTGCTGCGGCTGCTCAGTAAAGCCTGCGCACCGGCTGTGAGCAGCGTGAGTCTCTGACCCCATCAGCAGATCCTGTCGATGATTTAACTCGAGGAGTCTTTCATTAGTAGTGAGTGCTGTGTTTGTGATGATGACAGGCATGGGCTTTGTGGAGGAAGAAGGGAGAGCTGTGTTTCTCCACATCACTTCCTGCCCTGGACAGATTACTGCGTGGAGGACTGCCACGGGGTGCTCTCACTGAGGTAGTCTACTAGTGAACAACATCATGTCGTTATTATTTACATATGTGAATATATTTTACATTGTAATTGTTTTCCTGAGTTTTCAGAAGCCATTACGCCGGACTTCAGTGTCACATGGTCCTTCAGAGATCAAGTGTTCATTCAGTGACAGTCATTGGTCATTATGTCAAACTTGTGCAGTATTTGATTTAAGAGCTCATTTATTTTCAAAAGAAACAGCAAGTTGCGTATTGATTGAAATATGGCATTTTGACCTAGGAAAGCGGAAATGGTATTTTCTTGTAAAACGTACTCTAATCATTTTTGTTTCATTTACATTTCAAACCGACTTGTGCAATATTTGATTTAAGGGCTAATTTATTTTCCCTACACAAAGCTATTTTATGTCTTTAAAAGACAAAATGTAACACACAAGTACAGTACTTTTATGGTGGTTTTTAGTTTGACAGTCCATAGTCACCAGTTTTGTTTTTTGGAAATATATATATATATATATATACACACACACACATATACAGTGGGTACGGAAAGTATTCAGACCCCCTTACATTTTTCACTCTTTGTTATATTGCAGCCAGACTCATGGCTGTATTAGATCAAAAGGGTGCTTCTACTAAATACTGAGCAAAGGGTCTGAATACTTAGGACCATGTGATATTTCAGTTTTTCTTTTTTAATAAATCTGCAAAAATCAACAATTCTGTGTTTTTCTGTCAATATGGGGTGCTGTGTGTACATTAATGAGGAAAAAAAATGAACTTAAATGATTTTGCAATATAACAAAGAGTGAAAAATTTAAGGGGGTCTGAATACTTTCCGTACCCACTGTATATATATATATTATTATTTTTCTTTTTTTTATAAATGTTAAAAAATGTTTTTATATATCAGCATAACATTATAAAGGTTTGGAATGACATGAAAGTGCATAAATTATGCCAGTCTTTATTTCTGGGTGAACTATCATGACACGTCTGTGTTGTTCGTCAGGTGACTGGCCCATCAGGCTGTGGAAAGACTCAGTTGTGTATAATGCTCAGTGTTTTGGCTACACTGCCGAGGAGTATGGGAGGTCTGGACAGTGGAGTCATCTTCATCGACACAGAGTCGGCATTCTCTGCTGAAAGGTGTTCAAAAAGTTTGCTCACTCTCTCTCGTGTGACCTTTTTGTGTTTCTCTCAAATTAACAATCTACCTCTCTAAGATTGGTCGAAATGGCACAGGCCAGATTCCCAGAATTCTTCTCGGTGAAGGAGCGTCTGCTGGAGATGGCATCTCGTGTTCATCTCTTCAGGGAACTGACCTGTCAAGATGTCCTGAATAGGTTGGAACACTTCCCAAACACCTATACATATTTAATTATATTTCATTCAGTTTACTGTACTTTCTAAGTAACAGTTAACCTAAAAATGAAACCTGTCATTTTTCCTTTTTATTCATTTTCACTCTGATTCACTCCGGCTTCTATTTAATTTCTAATTTCTATTAATTTCTATGCAGAGCTTTTAGGGGATCAGCTCAAACTATAGATGGTGTGGCGCTAGCAACACCAATGTTTTGGTTTTGGTTCCAAGGGAATGGAATGGGTGCCATGAAATTATAACATTTACACTAAAAGTTTGAAATAATTAATTAATAATTAATAAATAGCTGTTTTCTTTTTTAAGATATTACACACACACACACACACACACACACACACACACATATATATATATATATATA